TTAGTGTGTTATTGTTTTGCTTGATGTTTTATTATTTGCTTTATGAGTTTTACTGTTGTATTTGTATGCTGTTGTTTTGTTGGTGGCCTTGGCCTTTGCAAGCCGCATCGAGTCCTTCGGGAGATTTTGCTAAATAATAATAATAATAATAATAATAATAATACTCATATTGCATACTTTTGAATTGCTAGGTTAGCAGAAGCTAGGGCTCACAGCTGGGAGCTCACCCTGACCCGCAGCTTTGAACTGCCAACCCTCCGGTCAGCAGTTTAACCTGCTGCACTACCACGGCCCTGACTGCATGTAGTACAACAGTTATAAACATTTTAAAGCCTGTTCTGAGATCTTGTTCCTCTCTCCTTCTCGCCTTGAGAACACTCTTTCTTTCCATCTCTGAGCATAAACCATTCTCGCTCCAATTGTCAAATATTGCAATCATCTTCCAAACTTTTGAGTAATTGGTAGAAGTGTGGCATAAGGCCAAGCTCAAACATACAAATGCAGGGAACACCCAACCCAAGCTCTCCTGACAGATGGCCATCCAGCCTTGTTGGAACCCTTCCTTCAAAAAGGAGTCACCACCACGTGCTTCATATTCCACTAGAGTTGAGGGCATCCTAAAGACCATCCAATCCAACTCCCTTCGGTCAAACAGGAAGACACAATCCAAGATCTGTCCATGCTCGTTCTACACTGTAGAAGAGATGCACTTTGTCTCCACTTGAACATGCTGTGGGATTATGGGAGTTGTAGTTTAGTGGAGCACCAGCACTCCATGTCTGCATGGGCCGCCCCTTTACCTTCCCGCTCAGGTGGCAACTATTGATATTGTTGTGGTTCAGCGTGATTCTGGGCCTGATATGTTCTCTGATGATGAGGATGATGGGATTCAGATTCCTGGCTCTTTTTCTGTGTCTCAGATCCCTGGGCCTGCTTCTAGGTCTTTTTCTGAGGCTCCCACAGACAGTGCAGAGTCAGAAGAAAGAGGAAATGAATGCTAACGAAGTAGATAGTGAACAGGTGGAGAGGCCTTTGCCTTCCCACGCTGATAGTGAAAGTGCAGAAAGCCTTGATAGTGACCTAACCCAGCAAGCCCGTCTTGATTTGCGGGTCAGGCGGAGTTCTTGCCTAGCCAGCAGACAAGAAGCCAGCTCGGGGAAAGGTCATCGCAATGCTTTCATGTTGGTGAGAGTATAATGTTTTCATGTTAGCAAAAGGTATTTAGGCTTCTTGCATACGAAGGGAAAGTGTCAGTTCAACGTAGCTTGTTAGCCTGAAAACTTCATGGAATAGCACGCTTGGGATTTCTTGCATTGTGATTCTTGGGGCAGTTGTTTCACTGCTTGTACCATGGACTCTGTTTTGAACCTTGCCTATAGGATTGTGCCTCTTGTTTTTACCTGAAGATCTTTGGAACTATATTCTGCATTTAACCTAAATCTTTGGAACTTTGCAATGCTTATTCTTTATTTTGACTTGGACTATTTCCTCAATAAACTATAAAACTACAGTTTTTGTGTGATAGTGTTTGGAAGCAAGGCAAAGTTTACTCTGAGTTGCAACAGATATACTCATATTGCATGCTTTTGAATTGCTAGTTTGGCAGAAGCTATGGCTAACAGTTGAGAGGTCACCCCAACCCGTGGCTTTGAACTGCCAACCCTCCAGTCAGCAGATTTCCTGCAGCTAGTGGCGTAGCCTGCTGCACTTCCACGGTCCTGACTGCATGTAGTACAACAGTTAAAAACATTTTAAAGCCTGTTCTGCGATCTTGTTCCTCTCTCCTTCTCGCCTTGAGAGCAGTCTTTCCTTCCATCTCTGAGCATAAACCATTCTCGCTCCAATTGTCAAATATTGCAATCATCTTCCAAACTTTTGAGTAATTGGTAGAAGTGTGGCATAAGACCAAGCTCAAACATACAAGTGCAGGGAACACCCAACCAAAGCTCTCCCGACAGATGGCCATCCAGCCTTGTTGGAAAGGAGTCGCCACCAGGTGCTTCATATTCCACTAGCGTTGAGGGCATCCTAAAGACCATCCAGTCCAACTCCCTTCGGTCAAACAGGAAGACACAATTCAAGATCTGTCCATGCTTGTTCTACACTGTAGAAGTGTTGCACTTTGTCCCCACTTGAACATGCTGTGGGATTATGGGAGTTGTAGTTTAGTGGGGCACCAGCACTCCCTGGCAGGGAAGGCTCAAAATCCTGCAAATCTACAACCTAATGATTCCATAGCACTCAGCCACGGCACTGAAAGGGGTGCCAAAGCCATCTGAAGAGCTGCCCCTGTGCCTGCCTCGGGTGGCTCAGCCTCTTGGGTCGGCGCCAACCCTCGCCCCCGTCTGCACTGCCTGTTCCAGCAGAGACGCTCCTTTCCAGTGACAGTGGGGCGGGTGGATGGATGGCCCGGCCCTCCCTCTGGGGCCCTGCAGCATGGAGTCACTAGCCTGGATGGCGCCTTGACGCCTGGCAGAAAGGGGGCTGGACTGGATGACCTTTGGGAGTCCCTTCCAACTCCGGAATTGTGTGATTCTGTGCAATTTCTTAGGGGGGGGGGCTTCTCTTGATGAATATATAGCAGATATGGGCCAACTTTGGCCCTCCCTCCAGGTGTTTTGGACTTCAACTCTCACAATTCCTAGGAATTTGGCCCATGCCTAATAAATAATATTCTTGTCACCCTGCTGGTCTTAGATTTTGCTGTCTCAATATTTCATCTTCCATTTCTACATATTAGTTTTTGTATAAATGATACAAAGGAGGCTGGATGGCCATCTGTTGGGAGGGCTTGGTGTTCCTGCCTGGCTGAAGGGGGTTGGGTTGGGTGGCCCTTGGGGGTCCCTTCCAGTCCAAGATCCTATGATCCAGAATGGGCAAGCTAGCCCTGCATTGATATACAAAGAAGGCTGCAGAGGCATCTGTCAGGAGGGCTTGTTGTTCCCTACTCACTGAAGGGGGTTGGATTGGATGGCCCTTGAGGGTCCCTTCCAGTCCAAGATCATATGATGCAGAATGGTCAAGCTGGCCTTGCATTGATATACAAAGGAGGCTGCAGGGGCATCTGTCAGGAAGGCTTGTTCCCTCCTCGCTGAAGGGGGTTGGATTGGATGACCCTTGGGGGTCCCTTCCATGCTCAGGATCCTATGATGCAGAATGGGCACGCTGGTCTTGCATTGATATACAAAGCAGGCTGCAGGGCCATCTGTCAGGAGGGCTTGTTGTTCCCTACTCACTGAAGGGGGTTGGATTGGATGGCCCTTGGGTGTCCCTTCCAGTCCAAGATCCTATGATCCAGAATGGGCACGCTGGCCTTGCATGGATAACTGAAGCCTAGAATCACAGTCCTAGGATTGGGGGAGACCCCTTCCCCCTATGGCAAGCGCTGGGCCCAGCCAGGTGTGGGAGTGGCCTGGGAAGACCTCTGTTTCACCTTGGACAGGTAGCAGGAAGGAAGGAAGGAAGGAAGGAAGGAAGGAAGGAAGGAAGGAAGGGAAGCCATTCCCAGGTGGGCAGGGAACATTTTTATCGATATGTTTTCCCCCAAATTTATTGCTGTATCATACACTAGCTGTACCTGCTACATATTGCTGTGGCCAACCTTCTCTCCCTCTCCCTCTCCTTCCTTCCTTCCTTCCTTCCTTCCTTCCTTCCTTCCTTCCTTCTTCCTTCCTTCCTTCCTTTCTTTCTTTCTTTCTTTCTTTCTTTCTTTCTGTCCTTCCTTCCCTTTTAGTCTTTCCTTCTCCTTCCTTCCTTCCTTCCTTCCTTCCTTCCTTCCTTCCTTCCTTCCTTCCTTCCTTCCTTCCTTTCTGTCCTTCCTTTTAGTCTTTCCTTCTCCTTCCTTCCTTCCTTTCTTTCTTCCCTTCCTTTTTGTCTTTCTTTCTTTCTTTCTTTCTTCTTTTCTTTCTTTCTTTCTTTCTGTCTTCCTTCCCTTCCTTTTTTTCTTTCCTCTCCTTCCTTCCTTCCTTCCTTTATTCATTCTTTTCTTTTCTTCTTTCTGCTTTCCTTCCTTCCTTCCCTTCCTTTTAGTCTTTCTTTCTCTCCTTCCTTCCTTCCTTCTTCCTTCTTCCTTCCTTCCTTCCTTCCTTCCTTCCTTTCTTTCTTTCTTTCTGTCTTCCTTCCCTTTTTATTTCCTTCTCCTCCTTCCTTCTTTCCTTCCTTCCTTCCTTCCTTTCCTTTCTTTCCTTCCTTCCTTTCTCTTTTCTTTCTTTCCCTCCTTTTTTCTTTCCTTCTCTCCCTTTCTCTTTCTTCTTCCTTTCTTTCTTTCTTTTCTTCTTTCCTTCCTTCCTTCCTTCCTTTTTCTGCCTTCCTTCCTTTTCCTTCCTTCCTCCCTTTCCTTTTTCTTCTTTCTCTCCTTCCTTCCTTCCTTTCTTCCCTTCCTTCCTTCCTTCCTTTCTTTTTTCTTTCTTCTGTCCTTCCTTCCCTTCCTTTTGTCTCCTTCCTTCCTTCCCTCCCTCCCCTTCCTCCTTCCTTTGTCTTTCCTCCTCTCCTTCTTTTTTCTTCCTTCCCTTCCCTCCTTTTCTTTCCTTCCTTCTCTTCCTCTTCCTCTCCCTCCTTCCTCCCTTTTCTTTCCCTTCCTCTTTCTCCCTTTTCTTTCCCTTCTTCCATCTTGGATCGCAACTCCCAGCAGTCCTCTGATCTACTACCTATCTATCTCTATCTAATCCATCTATCTGGAGGATTTCTGGGAGTTGCAGTCCAGGAATAGGAAATTGGAAGTATGCAGGGATAGGGATGCTCTCAAAGAAATCCAAGGAGAAGAAAGTTTGCATCTTGGAAGCAGTGCATTGGGATCATGCTCCTCTCCTAAAGATTTTAATGAAGAAAATAATAATAATATTTGCTTGAAGTCTCTTGGCGAGCTTGCTTGTGTGTGTGTGTGTGTGTGTGTGTGTTGTGGTTTGACAATACCAGGAGCAGGGGAAATGTCATCGGGGTGACAACCCCCCCCCCATTATTGGGGAGCCTTGCTTATGCCCTTCTCTTTCTTTTCTCCCTAGGCCCCCCTCACCATGGAGACCCCCATCACTGGAGCTACACAGGTGAAGACCCCGCACCCTATGGTCCTGTTGGTTTTCCCAATCCCCCCCACTGACCCCCCTCAATTTGAGTGTGCCCTCTTCCTGCAGACAAGGCCAATTGGAGCTCCGCCTTCCCTTTTTGTGGGGGGCACCTGCAGTCCCCCATCGACATTGAAACCAGCGCGGCCATCTTCAGCCCCCAGCTGACCCCCATCCTGTTGTCCGGCTACGACCTGCCATCAAAAATGAGAGAACTGGTTAAATAGAAGTTGAAAAGATGAGTTGGGTGTGTGTGTGTGTGTGTGTGTATGTTCTTCTTCCATGACTCTCCTTGTTCCCTCTTGCTCTTTGTAAATACTGTCTATACCAGTGGTTCTCAACCTGGGGGTCGCGACCCCCAGGGGGGTCGCCTGGCCATTTCGGAGGGGTCGCGAGGCCACCTCCATTGGCCCCGCCCCAAGGGCGTGGGCCAGGTGAGGGCTCCTTCACGCGAGGCCTGGCCTCGTGCAAATCCTGCCTCGCTTGCCTCATGCTCTCGCCATCCAAGGCAGGCGAGGTTGGGGGTCACCACAACATGAGGAACATATTTAGTGGTCCCGGTGTTAGAAAGGCTGAGAACCACTGGTCTATACTCGAGTATAAGCCTAGTTTTTCAACCCTTGTTTTAGGCTGAAAAAGTCCCCTCGGCTTATACTCGAGTCAAGGTTATTTATTATTTTACTCTGTCATTATTATTATTATTATTATTATTATTATTATTATTATTGCATTTATTATTTTACTCTATTTATTATTATTATAGTTATCATTTTACTTTATTATTACATTTATTATTTTATTTTATAAGTATTATCATTAAATCTATCATTTTACTCTATGGTTATTATATTTATTATTTCACTATTCTTATTATTTTATTTTACTGTCATTATTATTGGAAGGATATGTAAGCACATTTAAATTGAAGAAGGTTAGGGCAGACTTATCGTAAATTACAATTTTAATTAAATATTCGAAAACATTTAACCTACTGATGCCTCAATTAATGTGATTTTATTGGTATCTGTTTTCGTTTTGAAATGTACCAGTAGCTACTGAATTTCTCACCCTCCGTTTTCCCAGTTTTTGTTGTAAAATTAAGTAGCTCAGCTTATATTCAGGTCGGCTTATGCTCTTTGCAAATATGTTTAAGAAGGAAGACAAATGCAGAGGCTGGGTGGCCATCTGCCAGGACAGTTTTGATTGTGTTTTCCTGAATGGCAGAAGAGGACTTAGACTGGATAGCCCTTGGGGTCTCTTCTAACTCTGGGGTTCTATGAAAAGGCTAAGCCTGCCATGGGGCTGTGTGGGGGTCTTCACCTGCCCCCTCCCCTTCCTCCTATTGCGCCAGGAATGGCTTTTAACTGGGATTTTTATCATTTGTCCCCATTTTATTTCCGGCATCTTGGAGGCTATGTTCAACTCTGGCCATTGGGGTGGGGGTACTATCGCTCCATCTTCCATGCCGAGGAGCATTCCTCTGGTCGATGTCCTTAAGGATGCCTTTATTGCCTTCCCACTAAAAGCAGTACCTATTTTATCTACTCGCATTTCTGCTTTTGACCTGCTAGGTGGGCAGGTGAGCTCCGGAGGCAGCGCTGATGGAATCGTTCCAGGAGTTGCATGTGATGTCTGTAGACAGTCCACGTTTCGCAGGCATAGAGCAGGGTTGGGAGGACAATGGCTTTATAGACAAGCACCTTGGTATCCCTACGGATGTCCCGGTCCTCAAACACTCTCTGCTTCATTCGGAAAAATGCTGCACTCGCAGAGCTCAGGCGGTGTTGTATTTCAGTGTTAATGTTGACTTTGGTGGAGAGGTGGCTGCCAAGGGAGCAGAAATGGTCCACAATTTCTAATGTGACACAATTGAGCTGTATCTCTGGCATTGGAGATGGATTGGCTGGTGACTGCTGGAACAGCACTTTGGTTTTCTCGAGTTCCATGACAGGCCGAGCTTCTCGTATGCTTCTGCAAGGTGTTTAGAGTGGCTTGTAGTCTTCTTCTGAATGCGCACAGATGACATTGTCATCAGCATACTGGCCACAATTCAAGAGAGATATTGACAAGCTGGAATGTGTACAGAGGAGGGCGACTAAAATGATCAAGGGTCTGGAGAACAAGCCCTATGAGGAGCGGCTTAAGGAGCTGGGCATGTTTAGCCTGAAGAAGAGAAGGCTGAGAGGAGATATGATAGCCATGTATAAATATGTGAGAGGAAGCCACAGGGAGGAGGAGGAAGCAAGCTTGTTTTCTGCTTCCCTGGAGACTAGGACGCAATGGAACAATGGCTTCAAACTACAAGAGAGGAGATTCCATCTGAACATGAGGAAGAACTTCCTGACTGTGAGAGCCGTTCAGCAGTGGAACTCTCTGCCCCGGCGCGAGTGTGGTGGAGGCTCCTTCTTTGGAAGCTTTTAAACAGAGGCTGGATGACCATCTGTCAGGGGTGATTTGAATGCAATATTCCTGCTTCTTGGCAGAATGGGGTTGGACTGGATGGCCCAGGAGGTCTCTTCCAACTCTAGGATTCTAGGATTCTATGATTCTCTCCCCCTCCCCTTGCAGTTGTGCTGGACCTGCCAAGGAACCTGTCTGTGTCTGGTGGGGGCTTCCCTTTCCCGTACCAGGCGGCCCAGCTTCACCTGCACTGGGGGTCCCAGCCCGGCCTGGGGGGCTCCGAACACACCGTGGATGGGCACCGCTTCGCCGGAGAGGTCAGTCCCCCTTTCACACTGGTCTCACTGATATACACAAGCCATTTCAACGAGGGAAGGTGGAATGTGACATTTCAGACCCCAAACCTTTGGCCAGGTTACAGAGAGACCTAGTGGTTCAACTCTCTGCAGGCCTACATATATATTCACACGTACACACACACACCCTGCTTGCTAGGATC